CAGTAAACTTCTGGGGCACTGTTCCTTCCAAGGGACCAAATGAACCTTTAACTCCTGTATGCAAGGTAGAATAGATTCAGCTGGGTGTCCTTCTGCCCTCATATGCCAAACCAACCCCGGGAAAGCCTGTAGTATCTGCTTGGGCTTTAGTGAGGGATACGTTCTATATTCCTTCAAGCAGAGAAACAAACTGGATTGTGCCCCATGTTTGGGGTGAGTGCTTCAGCCACTGCACATGGCAGAGCCAGGACAGGGCACAAACCATTTCTTCGGCCATGCCTTGGAGTATATTGGCAATCATGCCATCGCAGGACTATTTGCAGAAGCAGCTCCAGCAGTTACACTGTAAAAAGAGTAGCTACCTAAAGAAGTTCCCTGTCAAGATAGAGACAGAAAGACCTCGCAGGCTATGCTAAGAGGTCTCAGACATGAGCTTAGCTGCTTGGATTTTAAGACAGAGATACTTCTGCACAAGGCCAAAGGCAGAACCTACAGCTCTTGGGGAAGCCTTATACCATTTATTGAAATATAAATGAAGATGAATCCTCTCCAGGGCTAAGCAAGATAAATGGATGGGGATTTTGAGGACTGCAGTAACTCCCACATGATGTACCTAATTTTCTCTTTGAATATCTACCTCAATCATTCTGTACCATATGCAATCACTTATGCTTTCTGCTGTATGTATGTGTATATAAACTCACACTTTAGGGCATAAACCAGTGTTTAATTTTATATAGACAAGAACAGTTTCCTAATATTAAGCTGTCCATTATAATAAACAGGATTATCAGGTGGAAGAATTTATAAAGATTCACTATGGTGATTCCAGTGCTCCTCTTCTTTAAGACTTATTTTCGTAACCCATCTGAGTAATATGTTCCTGCCTACGGAGAACTTTGCAAACCTTGAATTCATTTTCATTCACATTATTAGGCTAAAAGTATTTTAAAATCCCACTCCACCCTGCTTTCACAAAAGGAAAAAAAACTGATTTCCACCTGGAAAATGATTTTTAAAAGTCTAATTTTCTTCCTTTGACTGTTTTGCTTGACAAAGAACAATATTCAAAGGGTATGGATATGTCCAGAATATGTTCCCTTTGAACAACATCCCTTTCCCTGGGAAAATGAAGATGGATACAAAGGTACTGGGGGGCTGAGCTCACATGCAGACACAGTGTTTAAATTCCCTGACGATTTGTTCCTTACAGCTTCTGACTCTGGGTTACTTCCTCATCCTCCCGTGGATATTTTCTCCCGTCTGCTATATTTTACCAAGATACTACATTTCTTTTGTTGTCTTTGTCTCCTTTCCAGTGTCTTACACTCTGAGATCATATAGTGAAATGCCTCGTTCTGCTGGCACAGAGCTTCACACTAACAATATAGCGCTGGCCCGAGGGTCTGGCAAGGGGAGATGTTGCTGCCAAGTGGGACAAGCCCTATTGGAGACACCCGAGTCATTTCAGGCCTCCAGCTAAGGGGGTCAGGGAGTTGCTTTGTAGTCGAGTTGATGTAGTCACCGGTGTCGGGACTGGCAGAGACGTCTGGAGGTACCATTGTAGGAGCCTTTCACTGAGGGCAGGACTGAGGAAACAGAGACCGAAAATGGGAGTCGGTCACCCAAGTCTCATGTTGTGGTGGGCCCAAGTCACCTCACTGCACACACACTTTCCTTCATCAGAATATCTTCAGCATACATGTGTGCTGAGATTTGGAGTCTGAGCAAATCATTCAAAGCTGCTAAAGTTGTTACAGTATAGATTTACCCGAAGGTTTTTTTTCCCATAGCCACATAAACTGGGAAAACCTAATATTCACCATCGTGAAGCAGACTCTTGCTAAGTTCAGAATATCAGTCATAAATGCACAGGTACAACATTTCCACACATCATGCTGTACCTATGCAGCTGTATTTGAGCACAGTTAGACAAAGGAAGAAATCTGATTACCCTGCAATTCAAATCAATGTGCCTGTTGCTATTGTCCCACCGAGAACAGCACCGTCTCCCAGGCAGGGCAGAAACTTCACTTTGAACTTCCTGAGTTGACAAGGGCTTAAATCAGAACTGTAACTTTACTTTGATGTCATTTATTGTGGTTTAATACCCCTCTCTATTTATTTTTTTACAATCATGTAAGATATATAAAGAAACCTAATCTGTTAGGGAGGTGTATGAGAATTTACTGAATAGACCTTAATGGTTCCTTTATGCAGCTATAAAACACAGGGAAGCTGTAACAGCAGTCTGAACTGGACTAGGAACTTTAAATGTTATATGAATTTATTTCTCATAGTCAAAGGTTTATTGCTGTAGGTATTTACCTTCCCCATTGTTTAACTAGGTTGTGTATTTCTCAGACGTCTATGGTAAAAACCATGTTGTACAAGGCATTAAGGAGAGCTTGAAAGCAGGGATGAATAAGCTAAATCTGCTTTTGGAAATATGTTATAAATCTGGAGTAACTTTACTGATGTTAATGCAGTTACACTACTATCAATACTGAATACTTGAAGCTAAAATATGGCTATGATAGAGTTAATTCCTCTCCCCCCAGGCTAATCTGGAATAATTCAGCGAAGCTGATGATAGAATTTTTCTTAATTTCCATCCGTAGCAATCAAAGAGGACTCTGCCCCTAAACTAAGTAGGGTTTTCCATCTCACCTTTAAAGTATTAGCTATCTAATCCCTTCTTGCTCTATATTATAGATAAGCAGCTGAACAGTATTTAGTGAATGCATATAGAGTCACAGGTCGCATGTTGCTGTAAATTAGAGTAGTTCCTCTGAAATCAGCACAACCTGGTTTGATTCCCACTGGCTGTGGATCTAGCGTGTGTACTCACAGCATTTTGCAAAGGTACGTGTCCACTGGCCTCTTAACATTGCATGTCCTTCAGGCAGGCAATTTTTAAAAACTGTAACAAACCATAGTAGTAGACCACAAAGACATTTTTAAATCATGATACATTAAACCAGACAAGGCAAAGCACAGTTCTACTGAAACAACGGTGTCATTAAATTCGGCCAGATACAACTCTTAAGTAAGAAAATTCTGAATCATTAAATAATGTACAAATCATTGGTCAGTTTTAAATTATGTAGAGTCAAAGTCAGATGCTCCATCTGAAACACAGACTATCAGAGTTTAAGAAAGGATCTATTTCAATTTTGTTCATTTGTAATGTTACGTGAATTTGCAATATTTGCCCATGTTTATTCTTGCATACATTTAATTATTAACACACTTTCATGTTTTTTCCATATTTCTTTTATTAAAAGGAACAAAGGACAACAGCATTAAGAATAATATTGAAATATACATTGTAATTTTGATGATTTATGCCAGGTATTTGTTTAGTACTCTACCACTGTGACAGTGGAAAGCAGTCTGTGGATACATAGACATATAACAAACGTATATTCATGTTTATACATGTGTAGGAGGAAGAATACGTATGCACCAGAAATTGTGTGTGTTTTTATTACGAAAGGTCAGAATGGAAAGAATTAAGAAAGGCCCCTGGTAACATCCATCTTTATTTCTTATAATTTCCTGTTGGATTACCTTAACTATCTCTACGTTTTCTCTTCCATCTCAGTTGAAAAGATAACTCTAAGTTATCAGCAGTAAGCCAAGGATGTAGTGAGATTATGTATGCTTTTCTCTGGGTGCTCTTTTTAATACATTGCCATTATCTGTTACGCAAATAAACAACAAAATTGGAAGACCAATGTCGTTTCAGTACAGTCCTTTGTGTATATGCACAGTATTTTATCTGTGTAACTTTGTTGTTTTTCCTTGTGGTGGCCTAAGGCATGCCTCAAATTGCACATGCATTTTCCTGGCAGAGCCATTATTTTGTGTTTGGGAGTATCTGGTTTAATTAGCAAGCAAGTTACAGAGAGGGATGATGCCAGTCAATGAGATTTCTGTGGAGGTGGTAGCTCAGGTGGTGTTTGCATGGTCCCTGGTCCACTTGGAAAGGTGCAGTTGAGTGCTGCACCAAAAAAGTCATCAAATATGCATAGAAAAGTTTCCTTCATTTTTAACACAAACTTTGCTGGAAATAGTTTTTTATTTCAATGTTCTTATTTTTCTCCTATTTGAAATCCATTATTTGTAATTGTATCAATAGACTGATTCACAGGCATTGACATATTTCTTTTCATTGTTAGACCCGATTGAAATAAAAATATTAAATAAACAGAAAAAGTTGACATCTTGACTATCAGGTTAGACATTTCCATTTTAATAATATTAGGCATTAATAATGGCATTTTTGTTAACAGAGAACAGATAATGTTTGTACAAGGGACTGTTAGTGTTGCTATTAAGTTTTCAATTGCTGAGAACCAGAATTATTCATGATGGATAATTTATTTAGGTAAAAAATGTAAAGTCCAAGTCTTGCAAAGCTTTTATTTGAGGGGCTGTCAATAATTGCATTAAAGTTTAGCATATGTATTCATCTTCGTAAAACTGGCCCCTAAACACAGACAATGGGGGTGAGGCAGCATTCATATGATCATTAGAAATTTTATATCAATGATTTGTTTTTCATCAACTCCTTCCATCTGGCCAATCTTTCTTCTAATTGTTACTTAATTGAATACAAGCAAACAGTTGGTCCATTTTTCTTCATTATTTCATTCTGACACATTTCTATAAATGGGTTTTGTCTTACAAAAATAGCAATAGCATAAATTACAAAGATGAAGCGTGTCTGAAACAAAAATTAGGAAATTTTTTTGTGTAATCTTTTCTTCAGGGGTGGATGCTTTATTAAATGGCAACCAAAGATATTTAAATGAGAACCTAAATCAGGCTATTTTTTAAATGCTTAGCAATAAATAAGCTTTAAACAGCATGAAATGATCACGCTTCTAAAATCTATTCATTCAGCCATATATCACTAACACAGAAGAGCTCCCATTAGTCATAATCACTGAATTAACTTTGTGGATACATTTTTTCCCCCCTTTTCTTTGCAGAGAGAATGTGCTAATTTCATCAAGGTGCTTAAGGCTTACAACCAAACCCACTTGTACGCCTGCGGAACAGGGGCTTTTCATCCAGTCTGCACCTATATTGAAGTTGGAAGCCATCCTGAGGTAAACTATCTTAAACCAATATTTTCTTTTTTCCTCTTTTTAATCTTTAGCGGTGCTTAGCCACAACATCTTCCTGCCAAAATGCACTCTCACTAGTTTCTGTGGCTCGGTGAGTGGATCTGGTAGGACCTGCTCCTGGATCAGGTGTTGACGTGCTGATTGATAAATCACAGCAGAATCTGTACTTTTCTCCCCTACACAGCGTCTCTTCCTCCAGGGGCTTAAATAAATATGAGTAAGCCCATTCTGCCTGGTTCACGAAGTTAAAAGCTCTCACTTTTTTTTTTGTCAGGACAAATACCAGCTATAAGAAGGGTAGTTCAGCCTGTGTACTTATTCTGGGACCAACTCTGTCCTTTATTCTCCTACCAGTCAGTACAGTCTGACACCGTGGCAGCTTTCTCCCAGCTGGGAATTAAAGTAGTGTCACACATTCATAAATCCCACTTCTCAGATTTGTCTTAACACACCGACAGTTTTTCATATGTGACCTAGGTTTTGTTTCCTTACTTTTTAGTGAAAAATAAATCACTTTTCCTCTCTCTTTCCCCCCATTTTTTTAATCTGTAGCTTGCTGATTTTTGCTTAGTGTTGCAGAAATTTTGCAGTAGCTCTTGTACTGTTTTGTCAGTGATTGTCATAACTAACTAGATAAGCATGGGCTTCCCTGGTAAAAAACAGTATCACTCACAGAAAGCAATGTGACTATGCTGGTTTTCCTGGCTGAAGATTTGACTAGAATGTCTCTGTGCTCCATTTCAAGGCTTTGTCTCTCCAGAAAAAAACAATTTTTTATTTTTCTGTTAAGATGAGTATGTAATATAAATTAGTCCACTTTACTTTGTTTTCAGTCTGGCTTACCTGGGTATTGCTCGATGGACTGTTTCAGTTTAGCAAGCAGGCTCTTGATGTGTTTTCAGCACATGGATATGTTATGGATATGTTTTATTGGAGAATCCATAGTTGTGTTACTTGTAGCTTGTGATCTTTGAAGAACAGCTCTTTCAAGTTAGCTTTTGGTTTTGCAATTCAGGTTTGCAGATTTCCCTGAAAATAAAGACATCATTGTTAAATGAATGAGGATTCAGTTATTTAAAAATCAGAATTTCTTCTTGTAGAAAAATTAACAGACCTTTTGAGTGTTGACTTTATAGTCTGGGAACCATTTTTCCCTATAAAAATGTCTTTTGATATTTGAAACATGAGTCTTTAAAATGTTCTAACCATAAGGTTTTGAAGGGATAAAGGAGCTGCAATGTAGAAAGGTTTTTTTCATGTTCTTTAATGCTTTATTCCAGAATGCATTCCTGGCAATTAGTGATTGTCTCTTGACCACACACAGTATGTCATTGCTTACTGCATTAAACAGATTCTCTGCTTCCTGAGATCCATTTGGGAATTGGTAGACATATTAATTAACTCTAGTTCCGTAAGATGTGTGTCAATCAATTCTTGGCTATCTGCCAAGTGAATCTATCTGCAGAGAGATAGCTGGTATGAGGTCATTTACTTCTACATTTGGCTGTTTTATGACTGTGCCATAAAACTAACACGCACTTTATCAAGGATTTATAGAAAGAATGATCAGAGATGAGAGGCCAGATCCAACCTTGGTTTAACATTCTGGATTTTGAGACACTTGAGTCAATGATGTGTTTGGCCCTGGAGCTGAAAGAGGATGTTTGTTTTAGCTTCTTTTTAGCAGTCCCTAACTATCAACAAAATCTAAGTTGTTGTATTTTTGGTCATTTATGCAGTAAGTTTGTTAGTCCCCGTGTGCCTGAATCATTCTTTTGACCCTTGCTTTCATCTTCACAAACTGGGGAAGTCAGGGGTATGTTTATCTGAACTGCCTCCGACACTGTTAGCTTTTTGTTTCCTTTTCATACTTAAGCTATGAGTGAAATCATCTTCACCTGCCCTTCCAGCGGCACAAGTTTCTGTATCCTCTGGACAGTCATGCAGGAGGGGTCACTGCCTTCTCAGCCCAGGTCTGCCCGCGCAGAGAGAAGGTGGGGCAGGCAGGAGGCAGCAGTACCCCCCTCTTCTCAGGCTTTAGTCAGCCTGGATCCTGTCCCTTGCAAAGGTGAAAATCAGACAAATAAATTAATTTATTAAGTTTGCAATGAAAAATAATCTGGCCTGTCTCTGTATCTCAGCTAGAGCCTGCTCCTTCCTCTCCCATACCACCTAGCCAGGAATTTCAAATGTGCATCTCCTCCAGAGCTGGGGAAGAGGAGGGTGTTTGATTGACAGTAGCTATTAGAGACACCACGAATGGGGAGGGGATGCAATATTAACCCCTGCACCCCTGCACAGTTCATCTGTGAGAGCCAGATGGTTTACGTTGTCATGTCAGACAGCAGCACTGGACGTGTCAAAGGGCCATTGCTTCTGTATCATGTATAGTTTATACCTCCCTAGCATACTAAAAAAGGTAAAAAATATAAGTGAAGACAAGCGGTTGATTTTGAGTTAAAAAATTGCCATCTAAAACATTTCCTGAAGATTCATTTTCTGCCACAACACTTGTGGAGAATTAACTGACTTCACCATCTGCTTATTTATTTTTCAAGCACTTAGAGAGGTAAATGTGAAGTGAGTAGGGGAATAGTCAGGGAATGTAGCTACTGTCTAATAAGACTGCTTGTTTGTGTGAGCTCTGAATATAACCCACCTGCCTGAGTCCGGTAGAGGAGAGGAAATTAGTGTGTGCCAAACTGAAGAGGATGGAGAAGTGAAATTTAAAGAAATGAGTGGCAAGCGATAGAAGAGACACTGGAAGAAATTGGAGCAGGCTGCAGGAGGCTGGAATATGGTACAATTGTTATGATTGGGGAAAGGAAATAAATTACTTTGTGTAACAGTCATAAAGTAATGGGAATATGAATTGTTATAGCTGTTGAATATCTCTTCGATATGAAACAGCGTATCGCAGCCCCATTCCATGCTTGAAGAAAACCATTTCTAGTGATGAAACTAGGCAGGTCTAATTGAGTTTGATGAAGTACAGTATCAGAAATAATAATAAAAAGGTAAAAGGATATGAACAGCATGCTGTGCATCTGATTAAAAATGATCTGAGCAAATGTATACAACCTAATATGTTGTGAATTACTCCGCAGTCTAAGGAGTAAAGCAGACTAATCTTCACTTAAATCCATTCCAGATGTGTAAGTGAATAACCACAGTATTTAGAGAGAAGAATAAAGTTAATGTTTGAATAGACTTTAAGCACATAATCTATGAGTAAGCAGGAAAGAACATATTTAGAGAGAATGTAGTATGTGTATATGCAGAAAATACCTGAAGAGAGCCTAATTTAAAGCTTGAGATCATCCATTGGGGAGGTTGTATTTGTACCTTCACTGAATGGGGCAAACTGGCTCATATGCAGATATCTATATTGTACGTGCCTGAGTTTAAGTGAGATGACCTAACACGGACACGTACACCAACTTCAGGGATCCGGGGTTAGGCAACATGTGGCATTCTCTCCACATAACGCAATATAGTACAAGAAACCAATTACCAGACAAAACAAGAAAGTAATTAGTAAAGCCATGTTCTGCTCCCACTGACTTCTGAGGAAACAGGATTGAATGTGTCGGAATGTTGTACTTAACGGTTGCAAAATTACACAAGTCAGATCTGTGCTTGAAAGGAACAAATCCAACTGCAGGGAGACACAGAGGTGCATTAAAGCCACTCAAAAATCACAACAGGATGCAGAATGCACCTGCCTGTGCATGCCTGAGCAGGGGGAAGGAGCCCTGCTCCCTTTCCCAAGGCCTCCCTTTGGGGTAGTTTGTGTGAACCAGCAGGGAACAGTCCTGTTTAGGAAAAAACAGGATTTTCCATTTACTTAACCCTTACATACAGGTGGAGATATAGAGAATGCCCTATAGAACCTTTTTTTTTAACACGGAACACATTAGTGTTTCTTCAACAGAGGTAAATCAATAGATGCTGTCTGAAGAACTAACCTGGCTTCTTTTATTGTCTCCTAATTCCAAATTTCTTGTCATTGTCCAACAGATTAAAACTCATTTTTAACTGGATGAACTTAAAAGATCTGGGATCACTTTACTTGCAGGTTATTTCTCATTCTTAATCAATAAAGAAGCTTTAAATTTAGTTCAGATTTATGATGTACATAAAACATTAAGTTATTGCATATGAAGTTATATAACGCTACCACCTGTAACATATTTGCTTTTTCCGGACTCTGTGTATTTTAAAAATCTTTGGTTCAACTCATAAAATTTTCCTGAATTATACTTTCCACTTTTTTTTATCCCTTCTGTACTTCACATTAGAAGAGGTCTAGAGTGCATTTTCTACGTAATGGACATCCTGTTCTGATACATTTATGCATCTGTCTTTTTTGTCTGTCTGTGTATGTTATATACATGTATATAGTGATGGAAGAGCAGATTTTTTCCTAAGAGAATGACTCTGAAGAAACACATTACTTGAAGGACCAGTGCTACTGCTGGTAGAAAACATGTTGTGTTTCATTATCTAATATAAAATTCAGGGTGAAACATTGACTTCAGTAGTAGCAGATGTGGCATAAACTGGCCTAACTTCATTGAAGACAGCAGAGCTGTGTCAGTTTACATCAGTTAAGATTCTGACCTGTGGTTTTTAAGTGAAACATTTGAGCAAATGATTTTTTAAGTTAAGAATCACCTTCAGGCTAATTTGCTTTCCATCTAATTAATTATGCCTTTATATGGCATTTGTATGCTTACCAAATATATAAAGAAAATATGAAGGAAAAGGATAGTGTTAAAGGATGATTCTCATTTGTGATATAACAATTATGTGATATAACAATTATTTGTGATGTACTAGTTCTAAGCATCACTATAACCACAAAGAAATCTCAGTAAAGGCGGATCTAGTTTACAAACTGTAACAGCCTATTTTAGGTCAGAGATGCTTTAATCTTTCAAACCACTAGATATCGTGTTACTATAGTACGTGAAAATAAA